AACTGCCATCTTCTAAACTAATCAATTCAAATATGATTCATTGGTCAATGATTTACTATTTAACACTTTCATATTCCTGAACACTTTCTGAGATGACTCAAAAATTATCTGGATAATACCGTAATTAGTTGTGTCCTTACCCAAACATTGATTTCGCTAACATTAATGAGTTTGACTGTAAGCGGAATAGGTTCATTTTGGCCTGTTTGTGGTGTGCATAATTGATTCATGCGATCATTGATCAGAATAATTATTATACATGTGATGTGAATGTGTATATGAATGGTGCGAATGGACCATCAGGATGCTTGGTACCTGTGTGGTTGCACCACAGGATTGAGCTGTAATATTCAGATTGTAACGTTAAAGCCTATACGGTGTCTGGTTCTCCTGTGAAGCGAGGTTGAGTTGTACTGCTCGGTTTATAAAATTTAAGCCTGGGAGGTGTCTGGCTCTCCAGTTAAACAAGGTTGAGCTGTATTGTTTGGGTTGTCACGTGAAAGTCCGGATGGTGCCTGGTTCTCCTGAAAACCAATGTAAAATGACCCTGACCCACAAAGGTATATTATATAACTTACCTAAACAAGACATTCAGTGACCATAATCAGTCGTTTTCAGTAATTTACCACGTTGGTAAAATTCTTCCGAAATCTGTAAGATACTCATTCCCAATAAGTTAATAGTCATTTTAATTAAAGGATGACATAATTTGATGAAAATATATACAGAGTACCTTGTATTTTTATAAATAATATGCCCCCTTCTCAGTGCCTTCAACTGAATCCGAAATGCCAGATCTATTTTCAGGATAAGAGGGGTTAGAAGCAATACATTGAACTAATCAGAAATCAGTCAAATAACAGGTGTACGTATATACAAAAGTCATGCTTATTTCCATTTGGTTTAGTTGATAAACTTCAGTCAGTCTCAGTCAGTCAGTAACAACGTAGAACTTCGCAAGTACATACATCAGTTCGAGTTGCCATACCACATTAGCACAAAGATGCAGTTGTCGATTCAAATCCCGTAGTGAGATTTGATAAGTGAAGTTCGATAAATTCCAATTATCACTCTCAATGTTTTCATTTAAGTAGCCGGTTAGTATCGGGCATAAAATGATAACATATCTGTATCAACTCTTGGACATTGTACATTACAACAGTAAACTTATCTCATTCAAATACTATTATCAATACGGTGATTGTGAAGTGTGTTAAGTTTCACAATTGATTGATCACTGGGTGGTGATCAATGTCATGCTTGTCTAGTCCTTATTAGTGACTATGAAGCTGGGTGACACGAGATTGAATCCGCCAGGGAGCACCAGTTCCCTCAAGATTACAGGTACACCTTGCTGACGAGTGCCAAGTAGCACGAAACCCGGGTCCAGGGTTTCCTGTTGACTACCTCAAACCACCATCTAAGTGTGTTAAGTTTACAAATCATTCAGCGATTCCAAGTTTTCAATAGTTGTCTAACTTTGATTTGTGATCTCAATCAGATATTATAATTATCAAATAAAAATTTTGTATACACTTGATGAATTCGATTTGTAACACTTGAATTCATGAGTTAATCTAAACTAAACCATCATTGAAAACCTGGAAATACTGAACAGCCATTTCATCCTTGTATGAGAATCCTCAGAATTGCACATTCATGATCTTGTATGCAAGACTTGAACCTATGAACACTTAACCTCTAGACCACTAAGTTAGCATCTAACGATGTTAATTTTGAATCTTCGTTGGTGTTTTGTTCATGGTGAGACTATAATTTATGGATGAACCAATCAGGTATAAGATAAAAGGTCACAGATTTTGGCGCGAAATTCACTCATCTTTTTGTCTAAATAGTGTTTTGGTATTATATTTGATGTTAATATGTGATGAAAACCCATAAATTGAATTCATAACCCTAACCATCATCTGTAATTCAGAATCATAATTCCTAACACTGGTTTATAATCCCTATTTGGTTCTAGTAATTAGGTGGACACTCTCAAGATCAGTTTAGCGTCACTCAAAGGTTATCCATAAATTATAGTCTCACCTTGATCTTTTTTCGAGTTAAAATATCCTACCTGAATTCCCAACCTGAAATTTTTAAGCTTAATAATATACTCTTCCTTGTTGAATAATTTTTCTGGTTAGAGTTTTTTTAGCGAGCCAGTTTTCTACGGGATGGAATTGCTGACCCCATGCCCAACCCTCCTCCTTTATCCGGGCTTGGGATCGACAGTAGCCTCCAGACGGACTCCAGGTGGAGTTACTATTCGTTGTTGGTTAGTACCGAATTGTTTTTACTGCTTCCTTGTTTGATATTTGACAAAGGGGTATTATATTCTAAACTGTTTGAGATTTAACGATGAAAAAACTGGAGTTTTGGTAATCGGTTTTAGCGTACCAAAGTTATATCAATCAGAAATAAAAGTGATATTTGTTAACATTGATGTTATGTTTAATTTTATTCATTAATCACGTTACTGATAATAATTTAAGTAGTATACTTTATTTTAAAACAATTTCGTTTTAGTGATTGTTCAATAGTGAATGTGTCACTCAATTTCGTGGATTAGTTGATCTTAGACATTCACACTATTGGATCCCGGCTCATTGGTCTAGTGGTTAAGCATTCGCGCGCGAGACCAATAGGTCCTGAGCTCGAATCTCGTAGTGGGGGTTGGGATCGTGGATGTGCATTGCTAAGGGGTTCATACTAGGACAAAACGGCCGTTCAATGCTTCCAGGTTTTCCATGATGGTCTAGCTTCAATTGACCCATGATCCCAATTATTAAAATTACTATAATATCCACAAAAACCCCTTCTGAAATTATTTAATTCTGTATACAAAACTTCTCATTAAAAATTCTTATATTCAGTCTTCATCAATAAAACTTAAAACTTACATTTGATAATCGGAAGATAAGAAGAGCTGCAAATGACATTAAACAGACTGTGCTTTAAATTTTTTTTTATTCTCACCCACCGACGCACTAAAGAAAAGCATTTTGCATATTTTCTCTTGCACTCCTCAAACTCGTCGTCTAATAATGTCGATAATTCTAAAAATGACTCTGCTGGTAGTTATTAGTTTCAATAGTTGAGCTCACAAGTCAATCGAAGCTAGTCCACCATGGAAAACCTAGAAGCATTGGATGGCCGTTTCGTCCTATTATGAGACTCCTCAACAGTGTGTATCTACGATCCTGCCCCCTGAGAGATTTGAACCCAACACTTATCAGTCTCACACGTGAGCGCTTAACCACTAGACCCCTGAGCCGGCCGGCATCCGACGGCGTTAGTGTCTAACTTCAACCAATTAATTTAATGTTAATATAAGAACTAATAAGTTGTGTGATGATGAAAATTTTGTTGGTAATGAGCTTGACTAGTTGCCCTATTGTTAGTTTAAATGCATGCTATTTCTAATAATAATTCCGTAGCTGGAAACGCTCAATAATACAGTAAGGATCTTCGATTAAGCGACATTTTGCCATTCATGAGTCTCAGTTCCATGGTATAAGAAATCGCACTTTATGCTTATTTGCTGTAGAACTAGTCCTAGTGCTGCCTGAAGAAATCCTAAATTTACAAAGTCATTTTGCTCAGTAACGGTGTCATAAAGTGTGGTGTCAGCTACTGATATTGACAGATATAAGCAGTATGTATCATCAATCGAAAGTGAAATGTCTGATAGCAGAAGATCGAAGAAAAGAGAACGAGAACAAAGAATGACTGTTGTGGAAATAAAGAAACAGTCAAGTCTGAGACGATTGATTGACATTTTACAAATGATGTATTTACTGAGTGGTTCTCAGATTTTAATAAGATGTTCTGTAAGTTCGTGTTCAAATGCATTCGATTGTCAGTATAAGGGTTGTGGAGATTATTAAGATTTCGATTGAGATCATGAACCGATTGATGTTAGACCACCGTTGGAAACCTGGAAGCATTGGACGAGCGTTTCGTCCTATCACGGGACTCCTCAGTAGCAGTCAGCATCCACGACCCCGCTCGCGGTATTCGAACTCACGGCCTTCGGTCTCACGTGCGAACGCTTAACCTACTGGACCACATAGCCGGCATCCAATGGTGTTAGTGTCTAACATCAACCAATCCACGAAATTCGACTGTTCCCATTTGTGTTCTCGTTCACTATAACGGAACATGCAATGCATCTAAATTTCTATATCACTACTAACTACTAACTTTCTTTATAGTTTTAATGAAGTCAATCTACCGAATATTCACCAGAGATACATGTTGGTTATACGTTATCTAAACAAATGTTTCCTACTGTAATATCTGTAATTACAAAAGATACATCATTCATCTTTTGCATTCAATTTGATATGTTCTGTTATCAAACAGAATGAAGATAACGTACAGTTATCAGTAGTTGAAAGAAATTTCTATGTACAGTTGTACTTATAAGTAAACATGGATGGTGGCTAGCAGTGGAATCCAGGATGTGCATTTCATCTTATTTGGGACTCGTCAACTGAATGTGCCTGCATCGTAGAGTTGGTGTTGATTCAAGGACTCGAAACTATCACTGTTTGCTTCATTTAGTTGTTACTTAGTTACTGTTAGAGTGACTTCGAAAAATGCACAATAGCGCTCTGAAAATGGACAAATCCATTACGTATATGATAACAGGTCACGGATTTTGCCCTTAAATTCACTCATTCATTTGGCTCAATAGAGTTTTGGCATTTTAGCTGATATCAGTTCATTATAAAAACCCTAAATGTAATCGCTAACCTTAATCACCAACTGTAAATAATAATCCTTACTCTTCACACCAGTTTATGAATCTCATTGACCCTAGTATGTAGGTGGACATTTTCAAGGTCACCTTCGCCTCACTTCGTCACACTTCGTCATTTAGTCCTAATCAGTAAATGAACATTCTCAAGGTCACGTCAACATCACTCAAAGGTCATCTATAAAACATAATCTGACCCCAAATCATCATCGTCATCATCAATAAGTCATTTGTATTCATCTTGGTTTATAAGTAGTATCATTCAAGAAAAAGAAATAATATTCACATATCAAAGAAGAAGTCAATAGAATAATGAGTATTATTAAAATATATAATAATATTACATCATATTACTCAATAGAATTTTCAATGTTGTTCTCCCCCTTTTCTGTTAGCTTAGTTACTTGTTTTTTTTCTTTACTTTACTTTTCTTTTCTTTTTCTTCTTTTTACAAAGTTTATCTCTTTTTATTTAAACGGGTAAGTAATTCACCATGTCAATCGATTTCATAAATTGGCATTCTACACATTGGACATTGAAGATTCTAGAATAGTTTAAATATACATATTGTTTTGTTAATCATATGTAGGATAAACAAATAATATTGAGAATAGTGAAATCTTTAATATCAAATCAGTAGTATATATATACATATATATGTATGTATGGTTTACCAAGGTTTATTACGAATTTAGTAACCATGATAGATCTGTCTGGTTACTAATCCAGGTAGTTGGGATTTTTTTTTAAAAAGTGAAAGTTTTCTGTGACGACGGACCACCGGTGAACTCGAGCAAGCTGCAGCAGGCTCAGAAGGAGCCGAAGATGTTCCATCCAATCACCTTTCGGGAGAATAATCTAGAATTCCTACGTGTAGCTTCCTGATTAGACAATGCTAATAGCCTCCTGTATGCGGATTGTTGGACTGTAATGATGATTTCGTTCTTACTAAAAACTATAAATACCTGACAATTTTGTACTATGATTGACACTGTTTGGAATGATATCCCTTTCATTAGTCTTCTGTCTTCTTCTTGCGACTTGGAAGGGTTTTGGTGTTCTAGTGTTCTGTTATACGCGGTAAATCAAGAAATCAACATTCAAGATATAACATTTTCCAATCTTGAGAATAAAGTATTTATCATCCAAATTCATTTGGTGTTGTTTACTAGTATCATCCGATTGTTATTAAGAACTGCAACTGATCAGTCACTTGTTGGCATATTTGCATCTTTTGAGGATTGCCTCGATATTGCCTAAAGTAACAATCTTTTTAAGCAAAGATAGATAATGGCTAGCAACGGAATCGAAGATGCGCGTTTCGTCCTATTCAGGACTCGTCAACTGGATGTATCTGCACCACAGAGTTTATGTTCACCCCGGGACTCGAACCCAGTACCTTTCGCTTCAAACGCTATCGTGTTATCCACTTAGTTAGTGGCTACCAGGACTCAGTAGGTAAGCGGATAACGTGATAGAGTTTGAAGTGAACGGTACTAGGTTCGAATCCCAGAGCGAACATCAACTCGAGGATATAGGTACATCCTGTTGACGAGTTCCATGCAGGCCGAAACGCGTGTCCTGGATTCCACTGTTAGCCACTATTCATCTTTGCTTATAAAGCATTTATCGATTAACAAAAAAATATTCGTTTTGTTTTTTCGTATAGTGTTACATTCATCATAATACCTAACATTAAGATTCACCGTTTTTAACTTAAAGAGTTATCTATTCATACTAATCAATGTGGTAGATGAAATGAGATCACTCATCTCCGATAACATGACTTTACTGATTAAGTTCTTTACGAATACAGTTAATCAATTAACATAAATGTTAAGTTATACTATATATGTTAGCCTCCGATACAACACAGCATACAATAATCGAATCACACTTCACGAAGAAGATTTGGAAGATGTAAAAACCTTTACATATTTGGACAGCATCATTGATCAACATGGTGAATCTGATGCAGATGTGAAGACGCGGATCGGTAAGGCAAGAGCAGCATATTTACAAATGAAGAACATCTGTAACTCAAAACAACTGTCTACCAACCAACACCAAAGTCGGAATTTTCAATACAAATGTCAAGACAGTTCTGTTATACGGAGCTAAAACATGGAGAACTACTACAACCATAATATGAGGTTAATAGTACCTATTATCTGTTCAAACACTATCCTCATTGTAAACGTTCGGAAGTTTTGCATAACAACTATGAGGAACAGCATGCAGACATACAAGAACAAGGGATCTAATGTCAGATGGTAATAAAATTAATAGTATATAATCATAGAACAAAATGATGAATGCGTCAGGACAATACGGAGAAAACAATATCATATAAACATTGGAAGAATAATCAGAAATGAATGGGTTTCAGTTCAAGGCGCATATCTGTTAATAGAATCAGTTTTAATCAATAACAACTGTAAGACATAACCACATATTTATCAAACAGTTTGATGGCTTTCATTATTCAGTAGTTTAATAGATATGTTAGCGTTTAAAGCCGTAGATATCAGTAGGTGTACCACACCGATGAGTCATAAAATAGGACAGAATGAACGTATCGAACTCCACTACTAGCTATAATTTAAAATTCTTACCAAAACGTTTGTCCCCGTAAGCAAGACATTTGTTCTGGATGCACAAACCGTTACTAATAAGAAAGACTGGTGAGAGATAACACGAAGATAACTTGTTAGTAACAGTAACAAAGTCTTTGACTGTATTCTTTGCGACACCATTTAAAATCAAGAGGCACTGGATATCTCTTTCATTCTTGTACAGGATTCCCCAACAGTGAGCATTCATGACATCACTAGAAATCGAAGCCAGACTATTCAGGTTTCGAAATGAATGTCTAAATTCCATGTTTGAGTACATGTGCTTGATTATTCAGTCAGTCAGTAACAACGTAGAACTTCGTATGTACGTACATTGGTTCGAGTTGCCATACCACATTAGTACAAAAATACAATTGTCAATTCAAATCCCATAATGGTGAAGGTAGTAAGAGTATAAGCAGTAATCCGAATGATTAGGGTTTGAAGATGTTATTCAAGGAGTATAATACAGTGAAATAAATTCGGAAAGAGAAAAAAGAAAGGGACATGAAGAATTCAGAAGATCAGAATTTAGGAGAACACAAAGAGTGGATGCACCTGCACCACTGCAAACGATTTTGAGCCATGTCATTCAAGGTCTCTAACTATCGGTTGCTATCATCTCGTGGACCCCAACCAGGTAGTCTACACCTACCAACATGGCCCAGTCAACTTGTCAGTGACTTCATGGATTTAAGCCATGATTTGGTTTGGCCACCCCTAACTTTCTTCCAATCTACTCCTACACCATAAAACATCGCACGTCGGGGCAGTTGGTGATTGGGCATACGTAACACGTGTCCGAGCCATCTCAACTGATGAAGTTTCACTACTTCATCAATTGGTTTGCCATCTTTACCTAGTACCCGTTTCCTAACAACTGTGTTACTTACTCGATGGTCCCATGATATACGAGCAATGTTTCGAAAACACCCATGATCGAATACTAGTAACCTACGGATATCCTCTACTCTTACCGGCCATGTTTCACTGCCATAAAGTAGGACGGAACGAACTGCTGCGCAGTAAACACGTCCTTTGGTTGATAGACGGATATCTCGCCTACGCCATAAATGACGCAAGTTGGCGAAAGCTAGTCAAGCCTTCTGTATCCTTGCTGAGATTTCGTCACACACTAGAACACGTGGGCTGATGAGACTTCCAAGATAAGTGAAGCGGTTGATACACTCATCTACTTCACTCCCTATCATTAGCTCGGGTGTCGATGGAACCCAATCCTGAAGTAACATTTTGCATTTTGAGCGGGGGAATCGCATCCCAAACATGCTTGAATTGTTGCTTAGAGTGGTCAGAAGACTCTGCATTTTGTCTGCATCTTCACCAAATAGAACTATGTCATCGGCATATTCTAAGTCAACAAGTGAATCTCCCGGTAGAAGTTCGACCCCTGGAAATTTAGATGAGCAAAGTTTCATCTCTAAAAGCACGTCTACAATGAGGTTAGACAAGAATGGAGAGAGTGGACAGCCCTGACGAACACCACTTGAGGTAATCAATTCTGATGACAATTTACCATATGCTCTCACTCAACCTGTTGTGTTGATAATTAGAATCATTAGATTAGCATCAACTGGTACATATTTCTAACTTTAATCAACTCACTATATAGTAAGATAATCATTCAGGATCCATTCGTCTACACTACTAACTAGGTCCATATCAATTCGCCTTAATTTTCAATGGTATTCGATTAATCTGTGGTAATTACAACAGATAAATTAAAACCGATCTCCATAATACTCCTTTAAGGAAAATTAATGATAAAAAACAACATTGCTAATCGCAAAAATCAAACCCTAATGTAAACAACCCTATTAATCACTAAGATAAACATTGGTTATATCGTTATCATCATCTTCATCATCATCACTGATAATCATAATCACTAACATTATTGATAAACTATTAGCTAAATGTGATACTTAATGAAAGTCAAATGGTAGGAATGTGAACAAACATCGTGTTTCTGGCTGGTAGATAGTCTTAGATCTTGAAAAATCAAACATTAAAACATCTGTTCATTGTGTATGAATGAGAGAAAACTTCCCATATGTATATTTGCCTATAGATGATGATGATGATGATGATGATGATGATGATGATGATGATGATGATGATGATGATGATGATGATGATGATGACGATTTGGATGATGATGATGATGATGATGACTTGGATGATGATGATGATGATGATGATGATGATGATGATGATGATGATGATGATGATGATGATGATGATGATGATGATGATGATGATGATGATGATGATGATGATGATGATGATGATGATGATGATGATGATGATGATGATGATGATGATGATGATGATGATGATGATGATGATGATGATGATGATGAGATGATGATGATGATGATGATGATGATGATGATGATGATGATGATGATGATGATGATGATGATGATGATGATGATGATGATGATGATGATGATGATGAGATGATGATGATGATGATGATGATGATGATGATGATGATGATGATGATGATGATGATGATGATGATGATGATGATGATGATGATGATGATGATGATGATGATGATGATGATGATGATGATGATGATGATGATGATGATGATGATGATGATGATGATGATGATGATGATGATGATGATGATGATGATGATGATGATGATGATGATGATGATGATGATGATGATGATGATGATGATGATGATGATGATGATGATGATGATGATGATGATGATGATGATGATGATGATGATGATGATGATGATGATGATGATGATGATGATGATGATGATGATGATGATGATGATGATGATGATGATGATGATGATGATGATGATGATGATGATGATGATGATGATGATGATGATGATGATGATGATGATGATGATGATGATGATGATGATGATGATGATGATGATGATGATGATGATGATGATGATGATGATGATGATGATGATGATGATGATGATGATGATGATGATGATGATGATGATGATGATGATGATGATGATGATGATGATGATGATGATGATGATGATGATGATGATGATAAGAAAGAATTCGGTATGTATGTATGTATGTGTGTGTGTGAGAGAGAGAGAGAGAGGGAAAAGCAATTGAATAGTACTGCATGGGAACATGAATTCACTAAGATACAAGTAAAAATCTTCAAAATGTTTTTAAATTGATAAACTGGTATGAGAGTTTATCATCATAATAGAAGAATAATATAGGTGCACAGGTAGATTCCATTTAGTGTTCATATTTGATAATTTTTGCATAACTATACTTAATCACAGATGTCTTAGTAATAATGCTGGCATCTGCAAGGATCACCAGATAAGTAATAGTGAAGTTGAACGCAAGGGTATTAGGGAATGATGGTAAATCAGTTGATGAAGTTGTAAATCTTCATCGACTGAGATGGTTGGGCCATGTGCTACGTATAACTGGACAACGATTACCACGACACACAATCCTCACTAGTGTTGGAGACAGTTAGGGTCGGATAAACTAAAACGTGACATCATTCCATAAAGTCAATAACTTCTAATCTGAGTCATGCTGGTAGATGTAGACTACTTGGTTGGGGTCTGCGTGACTATCGTAACCAATGATTAGAGACTCTTGGTGACATGGCTCAGAATCGATCATAATGGCATAGGTGTATACACACTTTATCTTCCTTTGAACCGTGAGATTAAAATTACTTTATGTCTTTCATTCTACGAATTAATTCTTTCTTCCTGCACTATACCCTGATACATAATCTTTCTTTTATATATTACTATCGTTGAAGTAACTACTTCTATGAATTTGGTGTTCATCTTGTTGTGCTAATCATGTATGGCAACTTGGACCGATACACATACGTGCTTGGTCCTACGTTGTAGCTGACTAACTTGACTGACTATACTTGAATAATTAATCTGATCATGACTTACTAATGCAATATGTATAGGGTGTCAAATGATAAAAGTCCTAGGTTCTTTTACTTTAGTAGTGAATCACTATTTAACTGTTCTTCTAAACTGTTCCTGTTGCAAATGTCAATCCATTGTCTCAGATTTCATTGTTCCTGCATTTTCATACCAATTGCGTTTCGTTTCTGTCCTTTCCTTATTGATCTCCTACTGAAATACATTCAATGACTGTTCATGTTTATATACTACTTATATAGATATAAGTAACCCACACCATAGTATCACACATCAATAAATAGTTAATTTGAAAAGAAAACAAAAAAAAACCAAACTAACGAATTACCTTATCAATCCATGCATATAAACAAGTATAATGAAACATATGAAAGCATGGTAAACCCATAATACGATCTCCAATATGATAATTTTCCATACATATAGAACAACTTTGTAATTTCTTAATACTGGCATCATCAAATAATACACTAATCGGTAATTGATTTAATAAGTAAATACGAAGTGTACCTAAGAAGTAAATGAACAAAAATGTATTCAATAAATAATGATTTATATCACAAGGGGTTGTTGTGGATATGATAGTACGTTTAATAGTTGAGATGATTGTAAGACTACTCAACAGTGCGTATCTACGATCTTGCCTAGTGAGATTCGAACACAGGACCTATCCGTCTCCCGCGTGAACGCTTAACCACAAGACTAATGAGCTGGCCGGCATACAATGGTGTTAATGTCCAACTTCAACTCATCCATGAAATTGAACGACACACCAACCATTATCTTCAATGATTTACTATCTCAAAAAAGACCCGGTTAAAGTTCACTGGTTACTGCTTCTCACTAGAACTCCAAAGAATACCTCTTGAATTCAGTCACTGGTGAGCATATAATGATTATAATCAGAGAGGGGTTTTTGTGGACATTGTAGTAATTTTTATGGTTGATATCATGAATCAATCAAAGCTAGACCACCATAGAAAACCCAGAAGCACTGGATAGCCGTTCCATCTTATTGTGAGACTCCTTAGCAGTGAGCATCCATGATTCCACCTCGTGAGATTTGAATATAGGACTTATCGGTTCTTAAGAAAACAAACAAGGAAAAAATTGATTATTACTGATGAAATACAATAAGTAAATATGTGATTAGAGTTTAACTTAGTTTGTTTGCTTAATTGATTGGTTAAATATGTGAATAAACATGGTTAAATTTGCATAGAAATGATTGATTGAATTATAATATTGTATTGTTTAGAGATTGTAGAGTTTTCTATCAGCATAATGAACTAATCAACTATGATATCATTTTATAGTCAATGGCCAGTATTGTGACAACGGACCACGGGTGAACTCGAGGAAGCTGTAAGGAGCTCAGAAGGAGTCGAAGATGTTCAATCCAATCACTTTTCGGTAGAATATTCTAGAATTCCTACATGTAGCTTCCTGACTGGACAACGCTAACAGCCTCCTGTATGCGGATTGTTGGACTGTAATGATGATTTCGTTCTTACTAAAAACTATAAGTACCTGACAATTTTGTACTATAATTTGATACTGTCCGGAATAGTATCCCTTTCATTAGTCTTCTGTCTTCTTCTTGCGACTTGGAAGGGTTTTTTGTATTCTAGTGCTCAGTTATACGCGGTATATCAGGAAAACAACCTTCAAGATATAATAAGTATCATAACATATAGGGGGTTCATTAAAGCTCAGATAACTTAATAATAACATCTCTGACAATCAAAGTGGGTGACATGGGTATGAATCTCACAGAAGGCAAATTGTTAATAGATCTTATTAGCAGGTGTCAAGTTGCGAAAAACGTGTATTTTCAAATATAACATCTTGTTGATGGTATTCACCTAGTTCAACACTTATTATAAACCTTGAATTGATATAACGTATTTTGATAATTACTTGACTTCTATCTATTGAGTAACTATTAACATTTCCTAATATAAACAAATGTAAAGTGGTAATTTGATAGCTTTGTTACTTATCTATTAGTCAATAAGATTCTAATTTCAACTCCACTTCATCTTCATTCATTTTGTTATCTAGTTGGTATTACTAACTCTCAGAGTTCTAGTGAGAAGCCATGATCAGTGAAGCTAATCTCTGTCGGATACAGATAGGTATCTACCTCAGTAAAATGGAAGGTGGTTGCGCAATTTCATGGATTGGTTGATATTAGACACTAAAACCATTGGATGCTTGCTCAGTGGTCCAGTGGACTGGAGGCCCTGTGTTCGAAACCCGGACGGGGGATCGTGGATGCGCACTACTGAGGAGTCCCACAATAGGAAGAAACGGCCGTCCAATGCTTCCAGGTTTCCAAAGGTGGTGGTCTAGCATCAATCAGTTCATGATCTCAATCAAAAACTTAATAATCTCCACAACCCCTATACTAGAAATACTTTCTTTCTTTTTATAGGTTACAGTATAGTACAGCTCTTACTGTTCAATACAAGAAAATTCAATCTCTTTGATTTCTGTTATGGAACAAAGATTACCTTCATTTACTCATTTATCTCACTGTAAATCTCGTTACTTTAAACAGATTTATTTTTATCCGGTTCCATATCACTATGGTCAGTTATCTTAGTAAGATCAGTAAGTCTGTCACTATGATTCTTTAACTAACTATTAACATCTGAACACTAAGTCAGTCATCTATAGTTGAAATCATGAGTCGATTGAAGCTAGATCACCATCGAAAACCTGGAAGTACCCGACGGCCGTCTCGTTCTAGTATGAAACTCCTCAGTAGTGTGCATCCACGATTTTGCTCATGAGATTCGAACACAAGGCGTTTCAGTTACATGCACGAATATTTAATCTCTAGATCGCTGAACCGGTATCCAACGGTATTAATGCCTAAGTTCAACCAATCCACGAAGTTGCGCCATCGTCCGCTATTGTCATCGGTGAGTTACTATCTCACAACAGATCCGAATAAGCTCCACTAATCACGACTTCTCAGTCATCTATATTTGGCTAAGTTATTTTCTGTTAACATATTTTAAAGAATATTCAATTGTGAAGTGAAAATGGATCAAGTAATAAAACAGAATTAGTTTGTGTATGGAAGTCTATGATAAACTTATCAATTCATAAATTTCAAGGATTCTACGGAGGATTCATGATAATTTTCCGATAGATATTAATGTGATCTTTATTGTTTATCCATTGAATCTTGAAGGTCATGTACACCATTGGTTTGGAATCATAGTTTTCCAACTCTCCTAGGTGAACCTTCCGTATCCACCAACCTGGTTAAAGCGTCTGATACTCGCTTTACATCTAGTCAATTTCCTAAATGACACCTCTTCAGCAAGCGCGTTTCGAGGAGGAGAGCTGATTTTTCTCACCCTTAGCTGTACCATATATATTAATTCACTTGGTGTTGTTTTACTTATATCTTCCCATTGTTACTTAGGACTGAAATTGATTAGTCTCATGTTGGTATATGTGCCATAAATCACAAGCTTTTTAAGCAAAGATGAATGGTGGGTAATAGTGGAATCCAGTTCAACACGCGTTTTGTCCTATTTGGGACTCGTCGGCTAGATGTGCTTACACCTCCGAGTTGATGTTCCCCCTGGGACTCGAACCCAATGACGTTCACTTCAAACGTTATCTCGTTATCCACTTAGCTACTAAGTCTTGAAACGCGCATCAAACTAGATTGCACTACTATTAACCACTATCCATCTTTGCATACATACATACATACATACATTTGGATTATTGATTTACACTTAAGGTCAATCGATTTCCATTTACCACAGTTGTCAATTGAAATGCTATAGAATTGGACAATATGAATGTGGATTTAAAAATTCTGTAATATATGAATTTATATTCAAATTGTGTGACCTTCAGAAATTAAAACAAGCGATGTTGAGTCATTTGGTTATGGGTTCAAACCCCAAGAGGCAGGGTCGTGGATGTGCATTACTGAGGAGTCACATACTAGGACGAAACAGCTGTCTAGTGCTTCCAAGTTTTCCATGGTGGTCAAGTTTCAATTGACTCATGATCTCAACAATTGCGATTTAATACTAGTTTTTCTTTTGTTTCAAGTTTGTTTCAAGTAAATTTTAAAGAAAGAAAAGAAAGAACACATACGAACTTGTTTCTCATTATGTGAAAATACGCTTAAGTGTAGTTGATTAGACTTATATTGGTCTTTATTTTAGTTTTATCTATATAGGTCTATGTAATGTATGCCAATTAAAGTATTTAAGTGATGTAGAAAGAATTTTATGTCAGATCCTTCTTAGTACAGATCGAATCCTATCGACCAAGTCTTAATGTAGCCATTAGTCTAGGTGACTCGACATTGAGTATATTATGTTGAGATAAGATGGTGGTTGAAGGTAGTTTAACAGAAAACCTTGAACCTAAGTTTCGTGCTACTTGGCACTTATCAGCAAGATGTACCTGTAATCTTGAGGGAACTGATGCCCCCCGCCCCCCGTTTCACTCAGCTTCACAGTCAAAGATATCATCACTGGACTATCCGAGCTCCGATGGACCTCTTGTAGGACTGAGATATATTCACAAATGAATCCATAAAGTAATTTATAGTCAAAAATTGTAAATATACACAAATATTTTGTTTGAATCATTTAACTTACTTAATGGATCAGTAGAATTTTCTAAATTAATAGAAGATTCAGTTGTAGCATCTAATAAAATTGATGGATTATTATTAACATTATTATCAACTTCTAAATCTGTTTGAGTAAATTCCGATTGTTGTGTTAATAAATCCACTTGTACACTGACTTCAGGTGTCATATTCATAGTTTGGATTCCCTGTAATAATAATAATAATGATAATGAAGTAAATTATTAGTAAGGTTTTTGTGATTTGCCATTTTTTGTATGAAAACAACTAAAGAAAACCTGGAAACTCTGGTCGTCCTAGTATGGGACTCCTCAGCAGTGCATATCCACGATTCCGCCTCGCGAGATTCGAGCACATGATCTATCCGTTTCGAGAACGAGCGTTCAATCACTAGACCACTGAGCCGGCATCCAACCACGTTAATGTCTAACTTCACCTAATCCACGAAATTGAGCGACACATCTGTCAGAGTCTTCAGTGAGTTACTATCTCACAACAGACCCGATTGAAGTTCACTGGTCAATGCTTCTCACTAGAACCCCAGGAAATACCTCTTGAAGCCAGTCACGAGTGAGCATGTGTTAATTCATATCAGAGATGGGTTTTTGTGGATATTATAGTAATTTTAATGGTTGAGATCATGAGTCAATTGAAGCTAGAACATTATGGAAAACCTGAAATTACTGGACGGCCGTTTCGTCTAGCTTCAATTGACTCATGATCCCAACCATTGTAATTATTGAAAACTTGGGAGTATTAAAGATGCTTCAGTCTAACGTGAGACTCTTTAACAATGCCTGTTCACAACCTCGCGAATATCGTATAGAACTAAGCACCTTCATTTTCGAGCATGAACGCTCAATCTCTAGATCAATGAGTCGAAGTTCAATGACATACAAGCCTAATTCCAATCACTTTAAAATATTATCTTATCTTCTCACATCAGACGCGCTTGAACTTGTTGTAACGGATGAACTGCAGGTTAGATGCGCAGCGTATTTATCGATCGATCCAGTGGCACGTAAGGACGACCTAGAGACCCGATTGGCCCTGCTCCGCTGTCTATCACAGCCAGTTGAGTCCAGAATGCAAGTCACAGCCTCTGAGATATGAATCATTATATTTCAGACATACCCTATTTATATACCAACCAACCAGACCACATCGTACCATAAAATAGAAAACAACATTTGTACAATATTTGACAGATGAAATGAATATCGACCAATGGAAATGTCCATTTAACGTCCAAGGACACCATTAGACTTAACACGATAAGTATTGGTATACTCCTCTGCATTCCTAACAGAACTCCACTAGTTATGGCTACTCATTAGAACTTCCATAATCACATCTTTAAGTAGGGTCCTAGATGTCTTTATTGAGGGGTTTCAAACTTGGAAGAAATGGTTATCCAGTTGTTCCAAGTTTTTAATAATTGTTTAACCTAGATCAGATGTTGATCTAATCTGACCTCTATGATAATAAATTTCACGAAATTGACTTATCCTATTGGAGCTATTGATTAGTGTAGATAAACTTGGATCAAAAAACATTAAAGTAAGTATCAAAGTGTTGAAAGCGATCAACCAAGGCGAACACCAGACTTCACTAAGATTTCACTAAGAACAAGATCTAACTGAAATATTCAGATGACAATCGATCCTTGCGTTGTTCAAACACGTGTCATTCAGTATTATAATAAGAGGTATAATCACTATTGCAAATTCATCATGATTCATTTTCTTAAATGCTGTCAATGAATCAACTAATCAAGATTCCTTAGAAATTCATTATACTCATTGTTTATTTAATTAAACATATAAACATTGGTACAAGGAGGTACCAAATAGATATGCGCCACATAAACCATTCGATTTGTATGAGAGCTGGGATACTGCACGAATGCTCAAACCGAAGCAGATGGTTTCCCTAGGGCGCCACACTCGAAGTCTTCGACCTAAAGGTCTAATCTATAAGACAATGGAGCAACATCAGGAGATGCAGTCCTATGGTAGTCGGTGAACATAGTTTCTGTCAATATTAGCATATTTTCTAAACGATTCTAGAGTCTTCTAAATACCCTTATTTTCCACACATAACCTAGATAAGTAGGGAAAACTACCTTCCGTTCGATGTTTATGAATAGAAAACGTTTAGGAAATGGAAGTATTAAAGTATTAAACTGATCAATAATTGAGTATTTTGATCTGCAACTGATATCTTTAAGGTTTGAGAAATTCACATTGAATGATCACTACGTAATCAATCCTTAGAGATGATCAAATTATCCCAGTCAAATTGAAATGTATCTACTTGTTTCAATGAATCGATATGATAAAGTAAGAAGGTTAAAGTATTAACAACTGTTGATATTAAATTGTTATAGTCTGTAAATTGTATTGGGTTCGAGTCTTGAAGTGAACATCAACTCTGCGGTGCAAGTACATCTAGCTGGTGAGTCTCAAACAGGAAGAAATGTGCGTCAAACTGGATTCTACTACTAGCCACTATCCACCTTTGCTTAAAGAGCTTGTGACTTAAGGCTATATTGAGACAATCCGCATAGGATGCATATATACCAACATGAGACTGATCAATTGCAGCTCTAAATAACAATCGGAAAATACAAGTAAAACAACACCACGTGAATTAAGATTACAATTTTGTTGCATAACAGTTTTCATAACTTTGATTTTCTTATTACTCATCTGTTGTTTATTTCATAACAAGATCAAATGACATTCAATCAGTTACTCATTCATTCATTCGTTTAGACGCAAGATTTACATTATAACACATGATGAAAATATAATTGAATGACAATCTTTTTTTTTGACAAAACACTCTTCAGCAGTACGTATTGAAGATTATCCTCACGGGATTCGAACCCAAGACCTTCGGTTTCGCGTGTGCACCACTGAGGAATCCCATATCAGGACGAAACGGTCATTAATTAACTTATGATTTCAACTATTACATAACTACAATCTCCACAAACCCCCTTTCTGATTATGATTATTATTGTTTATATAAGAAAGATGTATATAATCACAAGATGTTGACAGGAAAATATTGTAAACTCAAACTATTTCTATAAAAGACTATCATAAAGGTTGACAAAATGTCTAACTTCTTTATGAAATCTATTATAGACTGTTTAAAATGTATATATCGGTAGTATTCTCATGGTTACTAAACTTCTATTAATTGTTACACATTGTATCTACAGAAAACAAATATTAGGGACTAAATAGAACTAAACGATGAAACTCTAATTTGTGAACAAGCCAACCAGAAGCATTCGAGAGGTTTCAAGGTTACGGCGCCAACTTCAGTGCTTAATGCTAATGTACGATCGGTTCACAGGGAATTTTGTACAAAACGTGATAAATGAGCGGCTATAACAAATAAAACGGCGGGATTATAATTTGTGGACGAATCAATCAGGTATAAGATAATAGATCTCGGATTTTAACGCGAAAGCCTTTCATCTATTTGGCTAAATAAATTTCTGGCATCATAGCTGATGTCAGTTCGTGGTGAAAACCCCATATATTATTCCTTACTGAGGCAAATTATGACAATTATTGCGAACTGGATAATAAAAGCACCAGTAACATTGACTACAATCAGGTACTACAATATATACGGATGTTTGGAGAGCGTACAGACTTCTACATAGGCTTGGTTATGTGCATCGTGTCGTTATCCACAAGTAGCATTTTGTGCACTCAACAACCGGAGTGCACTTAAACAATATTGAAGCCATGTGGTCGAGGCTGAAAGAGTTTTGCGACCTTATCATGGTTCCAGAGGCCGACTATTCTGTAGTCGTATAGATGATTTCCTCTACTGCATGCATTACGATTTTAGAACCTCTGAACCTCTTTCTAACCTTGACAAGTTTTTGAACCATGTATAAGAAGTGTATCCACTTTTGAGACGATTATCTTGATATAATCTTTAGTTATATGTGTTAATGAATCCGGTATGTAAATCATCATGGAATCTGTCCTATTTAGTATACATCATTTAGATGTTTATAGTATATTCTAATATTGTTGAACGAAGTGAACATTAGGTCTCGAATCCAGTTGTATTGACTAACATGTTACTTAATTCATATAGTAGTCTTGAACAATAACAGCCGAAAAATTACTATTCAGCTTTGTCGATAATACTTCAGTCTTCGAGATGAAACGTTTTGGATTAGATTCTCAATGCTAACAATAAAAATAGATGGGTACAGATATATTCTAATGCTGACTTATAAATAGGATTGAATAAGCTTCCTAGTTTCCCCTACTAAATTGTCAATAAAGTTGAATGATTCTGATGATGTTCTCTGAACTGGATGATTTGGTCGTGGAGCTTTCATCGTTTTTCTGAACGACATCATCATCATCAGCACAAACTTCAGGTAGAAGTGAAGTGTTTGAATTTCTCCACATATGGTTCATACCTTGTCCTGTAGACCTCGATGTTGATTGGTTCTTGTTGATCTGAAACCGATTATTGTTTACTTCTTTGTTTTGGTTGTATCTCCCATTGGTTTGAATTTTGATCCTATATTTGTCCATAATTTTCCTGATTGATTGATAAATTCGATCGATTTCAATGTGATTGTTGATTGCTCATTGACCTAAGTGCTAAGATTCTACAAATTTCCTGATGCTTTTAGAATTCCCTCTATCCAAAATTTCCACATTTTTCCAGTCGAATGAGAGATTCAACCAAGATATATAAAAAGTAAACAATGACAGGTTAAAGGTTAACAATAGCCAATCAACATCTAGGTCTACAGGACAAGCTGTGAACCATATATGGAGAAATTCGAACACTTCACTTCTACCTGAAGTCTGTGCTGATAATGTCGTTTAGAAGAACGATGAAGGCTCCACGACCAAACCATTCAGTTCAGAGAACAAAACTTCATCAAACATTTTTTTCTCATTGTGAATTTTATAAAAGAATTCATCCATAGTATATCAAGGTGTCTTTCATTTAGATTATTTACAAGATAATAAACGGTTCATCAAACAACCTTATGTTGTTTTAATTTTCTTTGTATATACCTCTGTAGTGATTGTATCGAAACTTGCTAGGAAATCAGTTAATAGCACTCAAATCAATGATTGTAGATGGTTTTTTGACAGATAAATCACGACAGTTACAGTGATTATCCGGATTCCTACAACTCATTTATTTATTTGAACACACAGATATTAGTACAAGGGGGCACCAGATACATATGCGCCACATAAATCATTCGATTTGTGTGAGGGATGGGATACTGTCCGGGTGCCCAAACCGAAAAAGGTGGTTTTCTTAGAAAACCATACCCGGAACCTTCGACCTAAAGGCCTGATCCACAAGGTAGTGGAGCATCGTAAAGAGGTGCAGTCCCATGTTAGCCGATGACCAACAATTAGTCCATACGCCAATTGTTCCCTTAGGGTACTGGAGCCTATATGGACCATTGGTTTAGAATTAGGGTTTAACAACCCTCGTCTAGGTGGACCCTCCGTATCCACTAACCCGGTTAAAGCGCCGGACATTCGCTTTTCGTCCTCTCAATTTCGTAAACAGCACCCGTGGAGTGAGAAGGCAGTGAGTAGGACTTTCCTGGCAGAGGCTATATACGCGTGGCCACATGAGAGCATTTCGAGAGGGAGGGCGGACTCTCCTCACTCTCGGCCATACCAGGGCATTTGGGGGCTCCTGTAACTCAACGCTATACACATTTCATGACTTGTCTGAGATTCAAAAAAGAAGTCACTTCTGATTGGGTTTTTTTCTCTTTGACACATATAGCAATGAAACGTCACTTAAACTCGTACTTTCTTGCACCACTTTACCAAACTTTCACGCCCGAAACCAAAAGTGAGGGTGTTTTTCACGAATTCAACATCACGTAACCAGTAATCTACATTTTCGTGATTATAATTATTCACTATGCTGTTAAAAAGCACATTTGTACTTTGATAAATAAGCTGTGACATCAAGACTACCTTCTTGATTATGACAAGTTCACCATACTTTACATACCACTGATGTAGCTCGAATGAATAAATTATTTGCAGGTTTCAAGCAACTTCTTAAAAGACAACTTATATGTTCTGGAAAGAGTTTAGTTAATCACTACTAGTGGACACTCCCCTTACTTTAAAATAAACAGTATTAGATGTTAGACCACCTCAAATTATCCTAATGTTAATTAAGAGATGAGTTAATCACTAGTTATAGTTTACTAAAGTATAACTTCGAACCAAATATTTCTTCGCTTTACCTTCCAACTATTTTAGAATAATTCATAGAATAGAGCTGGTAACTTCAAGAATCGAAGTACAGGTGTGGTATATGCTACCGATTAATGTTAGACCACCATTGAAAACCTGGAAGCACTGGACGGCCGTTTCGTCCTATTGTGGGACTCTTCAGCAGTGCGCATCCACGATCCCGCTCGCGGGATTTGAACCCAGGGCCTTCAGTCTCGAGAGCGAACGCTTAACCTACTCAAAATTTATCCTTCTTCACTATACAAGTTTACTTTAACCAAATCAATTGACCCTTATAATCAAATATCTGAATTTCCATTTGATTCATTTACTAAATAACTAGAAAGGAAATAACATAAGACTTCAGGGACTGTATCTTCAAAGAACAAGTTTTACCCATTATATTTGATATATCATAAAATCTAACTATAATTCTTTCAATGTGTCTTAAAGTTATGAGTCGATTATTAGTGTCTATATGTGTTTGTGTGTGTGAACTCGGCTCATTGTTTAAGAAATATGGTATGAATATCAGTTTCACCGAAGTTATCAATCAATCTTATTATAATGTTAATTCAATTCTCAGAAGGGATTTGTGAAGATTTTAGAAATTTCACAGACTGATAAGTTCTGGGTTCGAATCTCGCGGGGTGCGGGATCGTGGATGCGCACTGTCGAGGAGTCGCATACTAGGACGAAACGGCCGTCCAGTGCTTCCAGGTTTTCCATGGTGGTCTAGCTTCAATTGACTCATAATTCCAATCTATTAATTCAATTGTTTAAATTATTTCATATACTGTGTTAATGATGAGCTATAGTTTTAATTAGCAAAGAAAAAGTATCCAGGGGTACTATTTTGTAAGTTTAAAACATTTAAAACCTCTTCTGGTTTCTATGGTGATAAAAAAAGCTAAGTATTTACATATGATACTAAGCTAGACTACCGATAAATATGTGGAGGTACCAAATGGCTTTTTTGTCTTCATCAGTGCTTTTTCATGATCCTTCAGCAAGAAATCGAACTCACCACCTTGAGTTTCATGCGTGGACGCCTAATCTCTGGAAAATCAAGTGATTCATCAAAGTTGGACATAAACATCATTAGATGCCCTCACAGTGACCTAAAAGTTAGGCGTGGAAGGTCCTAAGTTTGATACTTATTAGTGGAGTCGTGAATCCCAAATTCTGAGGAGTTGAATACTAAGACGAAATAGATATTTAATGATCTCAAGTTTTCAAAAATTGTATGGCTAAGATCATCTCGTGATTTGAACTATGAAAATGTTTTATTACTAATCTTATACACCCAGATTCCCTGATATGGCCAAGAGCTGGGAGAGTCCGTTCACTCTTAAAATTCTTTCACATGGCTACGTGTATACAGCCACTAACAGGGAAGCCCTACTTATTACCTTCTCGCAGAAGGGGTATCCTCTATGAAATTGAAAGGACGAAAACGGATGTCAGACACCTTAACCGGTTCGGTGGACACGGAGGTTCCACCTAGAGGGGAATTGGTAGACCCTCATTCCAAACCATTGGTGTATATGAACTTCAAGATCCTGAGGGGACAAAGGGCATCTGAACCAATTGTTGGTCATCGGCTACCTTTGGACTATATCTCCTGACGTCGCTTCACTGCCTTATGGATTAGATCTCTATGTGAAAGGCTCGAAGATTTAATCAAACTTTCAATCTAATGATTAGAAGCAAAGATGGATAGTGGCTAGCAATGGAATCCAGGATGTATGTTTCATTCTATTTGGGACTAGTCAGCTGGATATAACAATGGGAAGATACAAGTAAACAACACCAAGTGAATATAATGATTATAAGTTTACTGATTGTGCAAATAATAAAATAAATTCTCTTATTTCATATCAATTTTAACTACTTAATTCTTAAACTGTGTTAATGTGGTCTTCTAATAAAACAACGTATCTAAGCGAACAATATTGTTTTCGATTAGATCCTCATCAGGCTTTACTCTAATATACAGTAATATTTCTGAGCATATACGAACTCGAATCTTGTGAGGCGAGATCGTGGATACTGACTGATGAGGCGTCCCACAGTAGGACGAAACAGCCGTCCACTGCTTTCAGGTTTTCCATAGTGGTCTAGCTTCCATTGACTCATGAGCTCAACCATTAAAATTACTATAATATCCACAAAAACCCATCAACACATGCTTACTAGTGACTGGCTTCAAGAGGTATTTCCTGGGGTTCTAGTGAGAAGCAGTCACCAGTGCAGTTCAATCGGGCCTATTGAGAGATACTAACTCACTGATAACAATGGTGGATATGTCGTTCAATTTCGTGGATAAGCTTAAGTTAGAAATTAACACCGCTGGATCCCGGTTCAGTGATCTACAGGTTAAGCGTTAGCACGCGAGACCGAAGACTCTGGGTTTGAGTCCTTCAGGTGGGATCGTAGATGCGCACTGCTGAGGAGTCCGGTACTGGGATGATGCTCCAACACTGATGAAAATCCGTTTGATCTTAGACCACCACTGAAAACCTAAAAGCACTGGACAGCCACATTGTCCTATTTATGGGGACTGCTCATTATTACACATCTACGACCTCATTCGTGGGATTGGTTTCTAAGGCATTTGCTAGATTCAACTCAAATTCAATGACACTTGTTAAATGAATTATAATTTTAATATAATGTATATATATATATATATATATAACAACTTTCAATACTTTACTAACCGTTGATTGCATAATCATTGAAGGAATAATAATTGATCTAATTGAATGTGAACTATTATCAATTTGAATAGGTAGATTATGTACTGCTGGATAATTTTGTGAAAATTCAGTATAAAGTTTAATCTATAATAGAAATAAGAGAAAAAGACTATGAATAAAATAGAAAATTCATAAAGGAGAAAAAGAAGAAAAGAAGAAAAAGAAGAAGAAAAGAGAAGAAGGAAAGAAAAGAGGAGAAGAAAAGAAAAAGAGAAAGAAAAGGAGAAAATGAAAAGAAGGGAAGAAAGGAAGGAGAAGAAAGAGAAGAAAAGAAAAGAAGAGAGCAAAGAAAGGGAAGAAAGGAGGAAGAGAAGAAAAAGAAAGGAGGAAGAAGAAAGGAGGAAAAAGAAAAAGATGAAAAGAAGAAATAAGAAAATGAAGAAAAAGGAAAAGAAAAGAAGAAAAGAAGAAAGGAAGAAGAGAAGAGAAGAAGGAGTAGAAAGGAAAAAGAAAAGAAAGGAGAAGGAGAGAAAGAAGAAAAGAGGAAAGAAGAAAGAGAACAGGAAGAGGCAAAGAGGAGAAAAGGAAAGAAAGTAGAAAATGAAGAAAGGCGAAGAAAAAGAAGAAAGGAAAAGAAGAAAAAAGGAGTAGAAAGGAAAGAATAAAAGAAGGAAGAAGAGAAAGAAGAAAGAAAGAACAAAAGAAAAAGAGACAAGAAAGGGAGAGAAGAAAAAAGAAGGCGAAGAAAACAAAAAACAAGAAAAAAAAGAATCAATAATTCATCAACTTACCGATGATCTACGTTGTTGCATAATTGAATTACTATTATCCATATTATTTGAGAATAGAATATTTGAATAAACATCACTATGTTACAATCAATAACCCTTCAATAATAAGAAGAAATGGATAGAATCATTTATAAGTAATGCAGTTATATTCCATTTGATAGTGAATACATGAACATAACAACAACAACGACACAATCAAACTCATCTCAACAATCAAATACTGTGTCATTGTCCTCTTCTTCTGGATCCTCCTCCTCATCGTCTTCTTCTTCTATTTCCAACACTAACAATGCAAGTGGTGCTAACAGTAGTAACAATAACAACACTAGTACTTCTTCTTCAGTGTCTTCGACTACAATAATAAATAATACATTGCAAAATTCTACCACACCAGCATTCACTTCAACAGTTGCTGCATGTCGACTATTAAACCGAGCACTTGTATCATTAAGATATTTACAAAGACTTGGACTAGCAAGATGTCATTTAACTGGACAATTAAAAACTTTACTTGGTGGTTTAAGTCAACCTTTGGAGTATTTAAATTTACAGGTATTTTAAAATACTGCTAATTCTTCCATCCTCATTTTGTACCTGAATAATTTAACTCTGAATACAGCACGATATAATTCAGCATTATTTATAAATCAACTGCTTAACCCTAAAGTGTAGTTAGCTACAACCTTGTATGGTTCATATATCAATTCATCCTAATAACTGTTATCAGGTTAGCTCTTCATTGGTGTTAATTACACAGTATAGATCACTAGATGATTATCAAGGATATGAAGTGAATATGAATAGAAAATGTAAATCAATACAAACGAACGAATGAACAAGATTTTTAAGAAGCACATGTATATAAGCAAGTGAATAGGTTGTCAAGCTATTTAAGTAACTAACATTTAAGTTAATAAGAGGAATATATGTATGCAGACTGTAACATGATTCATGTTCAATTAAGATATTTATTTATGACTATTAATGCAAATTGAAGTTGTTAGGTAAGGTATCATCTCCATCTCTCTTACAAGTTGATTATCTGGTTTATCATTCATGGGAAGTCTATGTCTCATCCTATACGAAAGTATGAAATTCGGAGTATACACTGAATCGATGGTTCCATTGAAATCAATAATTACAGTCAGATTGTACTTTTGCCTACATATGTCTTTAGGAATATACACCACAAATCTATCAAATTAGTTTCTATGCAGAGCTAATCGAAATATAGAAATTTAATCTTTAAAAATTACATCTAAAATATAAATTAATACATTTAATACAAAAACTGAATGTAGTTCAGTCAATTGAAAAGAAAGGATAATCAAACACATACATACTGAACAGTGATGAGAATGCAATCCTATATGTGGAACTGATCACATGAATGTACCTTCACATCCATGTTGTTCATATCGGGACTCAAACTTAGTACATTTCAGTTCAACACACTTATCCATTTAGCTACTGAGTCTAGGTGTTTACTAGCTTATGGAACGAGTGTTGAACATCCAATACCCAGGGTCAAGGTAAACCTAGCCAATGAGTCTCAAACAGAACGATACCTGAGTCTTGAGTTCCACTTCTAGTCATTATCTAACTCTGATTAAAATGAATATTTCTTGTTAATATTTACTTGTTTCATCCTGCCAATAAACCAGTTTTCTTTTCAATTTATCGTTTAATGTGCCGTAATCTAGAATATTTATTTCATTTACCATACGATTATTGTATAGTTTGTTGTATAACAAGTAAGATTGATTTTCATTGGTTGAGGGGGAAAATGACATTTTACAATGTCAGAAAGTAGTCATTCGAATAACCTTGGAAATGGTTTCAAATAGAGAAATATGGTTTGTAAGGGATATAAAATGACTAGTTTTTTGAATTATTGAAAATCTATGATAATCTTCTTTGATTCAGGGAACATGTTCGTGAATTTGTAGCTCCTTATGTTCAGTGTGTGTTTGTGGTATCTAACATTTTCGATCATTTCACTGTTTAATTAATCCATGAATGTTAGATTGTAAGAGCATACTCTGAAGATCTCATTTCAGCCTACAACCTTCACTTTTTCTTTCGTTGTTTTTCATCTACCAAGTAGGTGTTCACTACAGTGGAGTAGTTAAGGTCTACATCTAGGGAGCTGTAAATGAATAAAATTAAATCCCTAGTTAGTAATATGCCCCCCCCTCTACCTAATAACTTAACGGGGAAAACGATGAAAGTTGCTAGATATTGGATTTTCATTAAAAATTAAAAAGAGGATGAATAACCACTTATTCTTGTGTTTTTTTTGTCAAATAGATATATGCCATTCTAAACTATTTATTACCACATACCGTACAATGTAATACAAACGTGCGAGCCTTTTTATTTATATACGACAACTTATGTTAGTGTTGTAACTGTCATTATCTCCAGTTAGTATATTATCGATGCTTTTTTAATTGGTTAGAAGGTATATTGAGTATGCATTGATGTTCTTGATTGTGTTAATCATTACTATTTTTGTACAGTTGTCATCTTTTTGTTACAGCATCATGATTACCCTCGTATCTGACAATTAGGATTAGAATAGTTGGTAACACGAGTTTGATTCTCATCAAGATTCATCATTTCTCTCAGGACATGCAGATGATGACAAATGCTGTCTAGCACAAGACTTAGTTTTAAAACATCATAATAACTATCTCAGGTTATGTAACATTCAAACGAGGTTCATCTGATCCCGAATAGTTTAGACTAATAGTTGGACACTAAAACTTAATTGTAAGTATATTCTATCACCATTAACGACTAGATATATATTATATTAATTACTGCACAATAATTAATCTATGAAATAAAACAAATTCAGTTCATTTGTCAATTAGGGTATCTTTGATTAGTTACTGTTTCACTCGAGGCTGGTTGCTAATTTGTAGTTTGATGTATGCTATTTATGTTTATCAACATAAGTAGTATGTAACACCAATCAGAAATCGAATGCCTGATAGCAGAAGGTTAGAAAGATCGAATCAAAGAGAACAGTAGTCTACACAGATAATAATTGTAATAACAACAGGAATAAAGGTACCATTAATTTCGTAAGAGACAATTGATAAAAGATATGCAAATGAAGTATTTAATGTTTGATTTTCGTATTTTTACGAGGACATTTTGTAAGTTTTTACTCAATTATCAATAAATTGCTTATCCCCACCTGAATTCTTGTTTACTACAGTAGTAAATCAATATTTAGACAATTATAGGTGAATATTATTGAAGACTATCAAACTAGAATTTAATAATGGTCCAATGCTGCTCGATTTTAAAAGATCATTTATTTGATCCAGCTGTTAGAATACAGTGGTCTTGAGTGCTGTTAGAAGTATGAGGCCGGTTATCACTACCCGGTTGCCCATACCGTGGAAGAGTTCTAGAGGTAACTGAAAAGGAAATTGGATTAGAGGTGGTCTTAGTGACCTGAAAGCGTGACTGCAGTGCCCAAGGGACAACTGCTTGAGGTCGGTCACACATGACCTTTTTATGAGTAATTGTTGTGTTAGCTCTGTACTTGTTGAGACCTTACCGCCAGAGACGGATATCCGTGGTATAAGGCGGAGAGGTGTGTATTTTTAGGGCCAACCATTTCTAACCCCACCCCTCTTTGTGGGAAGGCAGCATCACTGTCATGCTGATTGTCTGAAGGAAACACGTTAGTGCTGTCACACCTCTGTACAATCAGCAGTATGACTTCGCCTTCGGACTTTGGGTTTGTTGCTTTTAGTCTTACCACTCTTCAACCAACTTGCCTGTATGAAATGGTAGGACCTTGAGGAACGGTTGTTCCATCCAGTATAGCTCGGTTGCTTCATCACGATAGGCAAGCCTGAACACCACATCAAGGCAGCAACAACGGTCGTGTATTTGATCCTTTATAGATCAATAAAATATTTTGTTATAACATAAGTTAACAATAATGACCTACAACTTAGTGAACAGAAGTTCGTTTAGATGTAACCAAATAAACTACTTCTCTATTTGAATGATTAATCATTTGTTAAGTATATCATTTCTGTTTATTATTATTATTATCAGGATTGTTGTCTTTCATCTGAAGATATTCATTATTTAGTACATCAATGGCGTCCATTACATGGTTTATATGAATTGAATCTTTCACGTAATAATTTATCAGTTGTACCAGAAGAAACACTTTATGAACTTGTACAAAATGTTTGTCTTAAACCAAGAGGTCGATTAGTTTGTCTATCAATAGCTTATACATGTTTATCAATTGAACGATTAATTGATTTACTCAGTCTAATGGCTGGAATGGATCCTTCACATGTAAGCAGATATTCTTATTCTATTTTATATATTGATATAGATAGATGTATAGATTAAGGATAAACACTATAGAGTTTAAATTTGTTGAAAAGTGAAGTATATTAATTCAATCACATGATAAATGTATCTTTGATATCAGTCAGTCAGCTACAACATAGAACCAAGCACATATATGTATCGGTCCAAGTTGCCATATCTCATTAGCACAACAAGATGAATACCGAATTCATAGAAGTAGTTACTTCAATGGTTTTTAAAAAAATACTTCATATCTTGATAGAGTTTTATTCTCTGAGCTCAAAGAACAAAACTCCATCAAAATCATCCACCTGAGCTACAAATCTTCATCATCTCAAGACTTCATTATCTTTAATATAAATGAGTATGAATCAAATTACAACACCAATGTGTATAGCGAAACCCATACCAATGATACAAATCTAAAAGACACATAGAAATTAAGATGCAAACGAATATAAGCTATTATAAGTAAGTAGATTATTCATTAAGTTAAGATTAATCTGTATCAGTAGTTTCCCTTTGAATAAATAGATTGTTCATGTGTTATAAGCGTTCATATTGATTGGATCGAGCCTTGGTTCATAGCAAACACATCAAGTAAGTATATCAACCTGTAACACGAAGGTGAATTCAAGATAACATTTTGGAAATAAGAAAATAATTTAAGATGAAAAAGTTTCAAAATGTAGCACATATACAAAAGTTTAACACAAATAAAAAGAAGAGGTTATCACATAAGAATAGAATATAATAAGGCACCAAATAGATATGCGCTACATAAATCATTCGATTTGTGCAAGGGCTGGGATACTGCCAGGATGCCCAAACCGAAGCAGGTGGTTTTCTTAGGGGGCCATACCCGGAGCCTTTAACCTAAAGGTCTAATCCACGAGGCAGTGGATCAGCGTCAGATGATGAACTCCCATGTTAGCCGGTGGTCAATAATTGGTTCATACGTCATTTGCTCCTTCACGAAACTGGAGCCCATGTACACTATTAATTTGGAATCAGGGTTTTCCAACTCCCCTAGGTGGACTGTCCGTGTCCATCAACCCGGTTAAAGCACCGGACAATTCGCTTTTCATCCTCTCATTTTCGTAAACAACATCCCCCGCCTCGAGAAGGCAGTGAGTAGGACGATAGCATAACTTGCGTCCTTGCGGATTGACAGAATTATAGTGATGTTATAGCAAACACTAATATCTATAAATACCCATAATTTTCCGTAAACTTTTATTTCATACTGAACAATCACTTTTCCTGCTTCTTCAATCCTCTGATTTGTGACTGTGGGGTTCTTTACGTTTAAGTGCCGTTAGTTGTATGTTGCATTCTGTGTTAATCAAGTAGCGAACGTAACAATATGTTATTTATAATCTAATTCAATGTTAAACATTATCCGGTAATCTCAAACAACTACTATACTGTTTTTGGTAGAGCTTTATTTTATGGACTGTGTGTTTTATTTATTTATTTGAACACAAATATTGGCAGAAGAGGGCACCAAATATATATGCGCCACACTTTTGTGTGAGGGCTGTGATACTGCCCGGGTGCCCAGACCGAAGCAAGTGGTTTTCTTAGGGGCCCACACCCCGAGCCTTTAACCTAAAGGTCTAACCGACAAGGCAGTGGAGCATCGTGAGGAGATGTAATCCCATGGTAGCCGGTGACCAAAAATTTGTTCATATGCCATTTGTTCCTTCAGGATACTGGAGCCAATGTGCACCACTGGTTTGGAATCCGGTTAAAGCTCCGGACATTCGCTTTTCGTCCTCTCATTTTCGTAAACAACACTGTGGCCACGAGAAGGCAATGAGTAGGACTTCCCTGGTAGAAGCTGTATACTCGTGGCCATGTGAGGGCATTTCGAGAGGGCGGGGCAGGCCCACCCCACTCTCGGCTATATCAGGGCATGAACTGTATGGTTTGATTGTGGAATTTTCATCATTACTCTAAACGATATCATCAATACAAACTTTAGTTACAAATCTTTATCATCTCAATGATTATTAACTTTTAATTCAATAAATTTATTTCTCTTTGAACTCTCTATAGAGTTTAAATGAAAATACTGAAGAAGATAATATAGATACAAATTATATGGATAAATGGATTGATAATATATGTACATTACGTGTATTATGTATTCAATCATTTATTCCACCAACACAATTACAAATTCATCGTATCTTATATAGAATAATACGTTTACCAAAATTACATAAATTACATATATTTCCAGCATTTTATGCATTCCCTGGAGATACAGAAATACAACAACGTGAACAACGTTATAATCAATTAATACATAGTCGTAATTATTTAAAACAAAAATGTCGATCAGATATTGAATTATTATAAATTATGATTTTTTTTTCTTTTTTTCTTTCTTTTTTCTTCTTTTCTTTTTGTTTTTCTTTCTAATTATGGTTTCCTAATGAGAAACAATCATGATCACCTAATTCATTATGTAAATGAAATGAGATAAGAAATTAGGAATTAGTTACTAACCATCAGTCATGGTGAGGGGGAGTGCCACCCTTATCATCATCATCATCATCGTTTTTTTTGTATATCTTTTAATGAGAAAAACTTTTTAAAAGTGATACACATTGAGTGTTTCTTTTCTCTTTTTTTTTTTATTAAGAAAAAAACAAAAATATTTCCATGTGAAAATATTTTTTTTGTTTGTTTTGTTTTGGTTTCATTTCATTTCAGTATAAAAATAAAATAAATTTTATGCATCATTTATTGTGTTTGTTTTGATTTGATTGTTTGTTGAATTGATTTCTAATGTTTAAATGAAAGAGGCCCAAACGTAGTTACTACCTTGATGTGATGATCGGGTTTGCCTATTGTGATGGTCCAAATAAACTACATTGACTGGAACATATGTACCTATAGGTTTTACCATGCCAAGCAGGTTGATTGGAGAACGATAAGATTAAAAGCAGCAACTTAAGATCTGAGGGAAAAGTTGTACTGCTGACTGTAGAGGGGTGTGACAATAGTAAGGTATTTCTCTCTGGCAACCAGCATCTGTAGCGATGCTGCCTTCTCAGAAGGAAGGAAGGGATTAGAAAAGGTCGACCCTAAAAACGTCACACCTTACCTTAACTCACGGTTTTCCGTCTCCGACGGTAAGGCTTTTTGAAGAGTGGAGCTAACACGTTAAAAAAGGCCGTGTATGATCGACCTCAAGCAGTTGTCCCTTGGACTCTGCGGTCACGCTCTTAGGTCGTTAAGACCAAAACTAATTCAACTTCTTTTTCATGTTCCTTGAGAAAATACCCTTCCATGGTGTGGGCAACCGGGAAGTGACATCAACCCTCATACCCGTAACAGCACATGAGAAAAAGTTGGTCACAATCAAATCCTTTCTATACCTCTTAATAACTTTTATCTTCATAACTAACCCTTCTTACGTTCCTTTATCACCTCGCGCCGCTAATGAAAATGATTCAAATACGCGGAACGTTATTCCCGGTCTCCTGAAACCACGCTCTAGACTACGTGTAGGAGCTTTTAACGTTCGACCACTGTGCCAAATAGGACAACAGGTTTCCTTAGCTAGGACTTTAGAATCTCGCGCCATCAATGAATGCCCAGTTTCCGAAACGCCTACACCGGATCCGAGTAGGTAAGGACGGCAAATCAATTGATGAAGTAGTGAAAATTCATCATTTGAGATGGCTAAGGGTGGCCAGATCAGAACATAGAACAAACCTATGAAGTCACTGACAAGTGGACTGAGCTATGTTGGTAGGCATAGACCACCTGATTACGATCCGCGAGATGATAGCAACAGATGGTTAAAGACCTTGAATGACATAGCTGAAAATCGTTTGCAATCGCGCAGGTGCATCCACTCTTTGTGTTCTCCCAAATTCTAATCTTCTGAATTCTTTATGTCCCTTTTTTCTCTTTCCAAATATATTTCACTGTATTATACTCCTTGAATAACATCTTCAAACCCTAATGTTTCCGATTACTACTTATACTCTTACTACCTCTACCACTATGGGATTTGAATCGACAACTGCATCTCTGTGCTAATGTGGTATGGCAACTCGAACCAATGTACGTACATACGAAGTTCTACGTTGTTGCTGACTGACTTATATCGCAGAGGCTGAGATTGGTGTTCTGGACTTAACAGGCAAGACTAGGCAGGAAGCAAGACCGATAAAGACTCTAGGCTGCTCGTACGGGTTTTGTGCGTCATTGGTACGGTCGATAATTCACTGTTTCTCGAATTGACGGTGTCATTACGTTATAAATTGATAGGGGCACAAACCCACAAGTTAGAACAGTTATCATGGATTGGTGATTATACATGAGGTAGGCATTGGTTAGTTTTTTCATTGTGCATATATAACCATATTAGGGATCATATATAGTGCTATACGTGATCATAATGAGCCTCCAAGTTGTTGTATGAAGTGACTTAGATAGTGAGACTATAATACATGTACATCCTTTGAGTAACTGTATAGTAACTTTGAGAATTCTCACCTAGTTACTAGGATTAAATGGGGGTTATGAATTAGTTTGTAGAATTAGGATTACGATTCATGATTGGATGTTAAGAATTGTATTTAGAGTTTTTATCACGACATGTTGTCAGCTACAATGCCAAAATGCTATTCAGTCAAATGGATGAATGAATTTCATGTCAAACCCAAGACCTACTGTCTTAGATTTGATTGGTTCGTCCTCAAATTATAGTCTCGTCACTTAGGTCATTCATCCATCAGTTTGAAAAGTGCTAAACCAGAAACACTATTTGACAAATGAGTCATTCTGATCTTATTGGTCATATTGTACACTATATACATTTTTCTTATATTTGTGTTTCCCTGTCTATGGTCTGTATATTCATCGTCCATTTTACCTATGAGATGATTTACGCGTAATTGTATCTCTTTATCATTTATTTATTTGAACACATAAATATTGGTACAAAGGGGCATCGAATACATATGCACCACACAAAAGTGTGTGCTGTTATACTGCCCGGTTGCCCAAACCGAAGCAGATGATTTTCTTAGGAAGGCCACACCCGAAGCCTTCGACTTAAAGGTCTGATTCACAAGGCAGTGGAGCGACGTAAGAGATGCAGTATCATGGTAGAAGGTGCCTAACAATAGGTTCGTACATCATTTGTTCCTTCAGGATTATGGAGTCCACGTGCACCATTGGTTTGGATTGAGGGTTTTCCAACTCTTCTACGTGGATCCTCCATATCCATCAACTCGGTTAAAGCGTTGGACATTCGGTTTTCGTCCTCTCAATTTCTTGAACAACACCTCAGCCATGAGAAGGCAGTGAGTAGGACTTCCCTGTTAGTGGCTGTATATGTGTGGCCATGTGCGAACGTTTCAAGTAGGAGAGCTGACTCTTTCTACCCTCAATTTTACTAGGGCATTTGAGGGTTCTGGCTTCTTACTATCGTTGCACAAGGGGTTTCACCTAAGTATTATGTATGAAAGTAAGTAGGGGATTATATTCAGCCAAAGTCAATGCTGGGCTATATGTAATCCATTGACATAATCAGATCTCACTAACAGCGTTGCTAGCAAACATTCAAATGTTTAATCGTTTCCGGAACATGTTTACGTATCTGTAAATGCTTTAACATGATATGTGTTTACTTTAAGCACCAACTAAACTTAAAGAAAGAATTCATATTCTGAATACAAAATATCACAGTAACAAGCATAAGTTGACAAACAGTCAACCGTCTCTTCAAGCCTGAAACTGTTCGTGAATAATTCCCTCATGATAAGGTCAATTAGTTGGAAATTGAACTCAAGGGGTTGAAAAGTCCCATGATAAATTTCCCAGCATATCTAACTATAGGACTGGTGGTCAGATCAAGGAAGATGTTCATTTTATTTATCATACTATGTATGTGGATGACCGATGGCAAATATGATACTTGCGGTGTACCTAAGAAACTCAATTGTCTCTGAATCTATAGCTACAATTTTGAATAGACTGCATATAGTATTTTTCAAATGATGATCCAAGTTAGTTGCATAAGGAAGCATTCTTACCATACATGGCACAGTAGGGTTCAACATTATCTCAAATACATCAGAAACTTGTTCTTCAATTTAGTCGGTGAGGTTCACTTACTCACTTGCATACGCCTGTTACCCCTCGTGAGAGTATAGACCTCCGACCAATATTCTCTAACTAGCTCTATCCTGGGCTCTCCGATCCAGTTTTTGCCAAGTGTTATCCCTTCTTTTGGTATCTGCCTCCGATCCCCGGAGCAATATATTCTCTAGTCTGTCACTTTTTCTTTAGCCTTCAGGACTCCAAGTTGAGGTTTGCCTCATAATGCAGTTTTTTGACTTCCACATTGTATGTCCTATTCACCTCCTAGTTTTGTTTTCATCTGAAAGCTATTTTAAAGTGTTTATACAATTTCGTTATTTGTATGGCGGTGATGAATGATGATATGCAGTTATCAATTCAGAGTTCTAAATGACTGTAAAAAACGGCCTTTATGCATTTTGTCTTCTAGAACTTTTCCCACTAAATAAAACTGCTTAACAACCGCGGCAAATGCATCTGTAAACACAATTCTCTTTCCACAGTGCGGTGATGATTGTGTCCAAAGCATTAATTCTGTGTTGTCTTAGTTGCAGCAATGTATCTCAGAGATTAAGATCTACTCATAAAGCAATAATACAGTGTATTTTATAACATTTTTGACCAATCAGAATTGTAATAAAATTGCATAAACACTACTCTATTTATCCTTCTTCCGTTCATTGGTTTAGTAGATTTTAATTCGCTGACAGTGTTAAGTTCTTCCACACTTCCTGTCTTCATTCTCTCCTCCTCTTATTTGTTTTTTTTGTGAGTATCTCTTCATACTACTTTTTAATATTCAGTAAGCAACTGTATTCCTAATAATTTCTAAAGGTCTAGTGTAAAGCACATTGATTTCTGGTAAAGTATTTACATAAACCAATAACATTCAATAACGTATGATTGTAATCACTTTCTATCAACTATTGTAATAGTTATTCCCAATTCTATAAATTCCTTGAATATTTAATTAGTTGTGTGTGCACAGAACAAGCTGTGAAATACATATGAAGAAATTCGAATACTTCACTTCTATCTGAAGTTTGTGCTGATGATGATGTCGTTCAGAAGAACGATGAAAGCTCCACGACCAAACCATCCAGCTCAGAGAACAAAACTACATCGAAGTCATCTACTTGAGCCCTAACTTGGAATCCTGAAGGGAAGCGGAAAAGAGGAAGGCCATAGAACACATTACGTCGGATAATAGAAGCAAATATGAAAAGGATGAATTACAACTGGAAGGAGCTGGAAAGGATTGCCCAGGACAGGGTTGGATGGAGAATGCTGGTGAGTGGCCTATACTCCTTCACGAGGAGTAACAGGTGTAAGTAAAGTAAGTAAGTAATGTTGCAATTAATTTGTGTGTTCTCATTACAAAAACCTTTTCTCTTTCCAAATATATAATCACGTAGGTCCCAACATACACAAAGGGAAAAGTGAAATTCTCTGATACAACACAGAGTGCATCAATCGAATCACACTTGACGGAGAAACTTTGGAGGATGTAAAAACCTGACGAGACTAATTTATGAACGAGCCAATCACAGAGGTGTTTTAGAGGTTTCAAGATTACGGCTCTAACTTCAGTGCTCAATGCTAACGTACGATAGGTTCACACAGAATTTTGTTCAAAACGTGATA